TTTTATTTTATAATTTTGACTTTTTAATCTCAATTTAATTTTGTAATAAATTTGTCATTTTAAATCTCATAATTTAATTTTTTTGTTATCATTTTGACTTTAATCTCATAATATTAGCTACACGGTTTGGGGGAAAAAAACAAAAACAAATGGCAAAGTTTCTGATAAAAATTAGGATTGTGAATTCAAATGTGTTTTTTTAATAATTTTTTTTTAAAGCTACAGGTTGGTTGTGCTTGGCTGCACAATTTGACCCAAATCTTAATATAATAATGCTAATATAATATTATTATCATTATGTTTTTTACTTAATAAAACATTAAAATAACAATTAATATAATTGTAATATTTAACTGAAATATAAAAAGTTCTAGTATTTAAGAAAAACATAATAATAATAATAATAATTACTATTATTATTATTATTAAGACAAGAAATATTACTATTGTAATATTTCACTATTGTAATATTTTACTACAATGAAATATAAACAAATACTATTGTAACATTTTACTGAAAAATAAAGATCTACTATTTTTAAAAAAATCATTTTATTATTATTATTACTATTATTATTAAAATAAGAAATATTACTATTGTAATATTTCACTGTGAAAAAAATCTATTATTTATGAAAATAATAATAATAATGCATAATAAATATTATTACTGTTATTAACAATATTTATGATGATAATAATAACTATTATTATTATTATTAATAAGGTAAGACATATTACTATTGTAATATTTCACTATTAATGTAATATTTTACTATAGTGGAATATTACAATATAACTATAATATTGTAATTTTCCACTGTAAAATAAAGAAATAGTATTTAAGAAATATATAATAGTAACATCAATAAAAATTGAAATATTACTATTGAGGTAAGAAATATTAATATGTTCCTTCAATACTAGACCTTTTTATTTTACACTGAAATATTACAGTAGTAATACTTTACTGCAGGGAAATATTACAATATTACAACTGAGCTTAAGACAGCGGAAAATAATAATATAGTCAAATAAAATTATTGTCTTAAGCTCTTCATTTTCAAAAGTTAAACATTAAATTACAGCCTTGATAATTGCACTAAGCCATAATCATGATTTCTTTTTAATTAATCATGCAGCATTTAACTGAGAATCAGCTCATATTAAAGGAATAGTTCACCCCGAATTCATATTCACCCTGTTCATGAATCATGCATGAATCATATGAGCTACTGTCATGATACTTTTATTTACTGCACTGAAAACAGAAGCTCTCTTCTTCTGCTGCAGAAATATAAAGCACACGCACACTAAACGCGTTCATTAAGTGCGAGAAAAACACTCACTGTTTTAAATGATTCATGGACTGATATGTGTGTGTATTTGGAGGTTGTTGTTTGCAGTGTTCTTCTGTTTGATATGCAGATGCATGTAAAATACTATTCATGCTGTGAAGTGTCCGTTTGCTCCTTCAGAAAACACTGACAGCTAATTAGAGAAATTAAGATGTAAACATTCAAATACCTGTGAAAATGCCTTTTTATAAGTGATGTTTCTTGAAAAAGCTGACAGTCCACAAGCGACACATATGAATATTTAAAGTTAAATTTTACATTTTTAAAAACTCTAATCAACTTTAATGAATCTTTAACTCAAAGTTATATTTATATGGGAGACCGGGGCAAGTTGTCACACTATTTGCTTGAATGAAGGCACTTCTGTATCGAAACAAACAAAAACTACTGCAAAATTTCAACATCACTGCCTGCAAAAAAATATACAACCCGTTGTGGGGCATGTTGTCACACTGTATGGGGTAAGCTGTCACAATGCAAACCTGCCATTAAACAGGTTTTGTAGTATAATTTAGACAGTACAACAATAACTCAATTCTTGAAACAGTAAAAATGGAAAAGATAAATACAAAGAGCTCAAACCATTAATTTTGGCTCACAGAAATGACAGAAAACAAGCCAGTTACTAAAATGACAACAGTTCAACGTGTGTGACAACTTCCCCCGATCTGACACTTGCATTTTTATAGATGTTTGAAATAAACACAGAAAACCACTGACGGAGAAAACCAGCATTGTGCAAAACATCTGCAATATTTACCTTGTGACAACTAGCCCCGGTCTGTTTTATAAGTGACTGGTTGTGTGAGTAAGTGTGATAGTGTCACAGTCACTTTTGTTCTTTATGTTGGTACTTTAATCCACTTGAGTGAACTCAAGCATGAAATAACATCTCTGACCTCTATGAGCAGCAGCGTATCCATCCGTTTGATTGACAGCTGAAGATCTGCTCACTGGTGGACCCGCAGGAGACAGCCATCCAATCACAGTTACTCTGTATGTTGGCAAAAAACAAACATTCATTATGATTTATGTCATCAGAATACATAACTCCTGAATGGTTCTCAATGGATAAAGATGCTTTTAGAAGCCAAATGGTGTAATTACCAATACTAACCAGCCAAACCTTGACCCGCTCCAGGGCATGTTATAAATCTAAACCATTAAAAACAGCTCAACTAATCTACAATCCAACTGTTAAAGTCAAGAAATCCAAACTGTCCTGAGACATTGCTGGTCTTACTGTGAATGTAATCTTATAAGTGCTCGTTTTTATTTCATAAACTTTCCTCAAAATATAAATGCTTCTGAAATGACTTTTCTTGTCGACTGTTGGTTAATATTAACCAGTAGCCAAATATCTAGTTCTAGGCTGCTGTTGTAGGTGATGCCGTCTTTCTGAAATCTATTATCAGTACTTTAATGCTGGTCAACATTAATATAATAGAGGTTACAGCAATGAAATCAACTAATAATAGACAACAACAACAACAATAATGGTGGTGATAATAATAATAATAATGATGATAATAATCAGAATCAGAATGAGCTTTATTGCCAGGTATGTTTACACATAGGAGGAATTTGTTTTCGTGACAGAAGCTTCCAAAGTGTAACAGAATGACAGTGACAGAACAAAAAACACAGATAATAAAAATAAAAATAGAACAAGTAAATAAGGAATAAAAATATATAAATTGACAATTGTGTGTGCAGGTATATTACAATAGACAGATGATGATGATGATGATAATGTTGATGATAATAACAATGATGACGATGATGATGATGATGAAAATAATAATGATGAGGATGATGACGATGATAATGATGATAATGATGATGATGATGATGATGATGATAATAATAATGATGATGATGAGGATGATGAGGATGATAATGATGATAATAATAATAATGATGATGATGATAATAATAATAATAATGATGATGATGATAATAATAATAATGATGATGATAATAGAAGCAACGTCTCCATTGGGATTCGTGTAGATTCACTGGAGGGTGAATCTGAGCTCCACATCATCAAAACACCTCCTCAAAACAATTCACTGCAAGCTCACTTTCAGATCTGAAATGAAACACATACTTGTGCCGTCACACTGATCCACCAGGAGAAAATCAAGTCTATGTAGAGATCTATTTGAAGATACCAAACTCTCTATCAGAGCATATGACTGTGATGCTGTGAGAGGTCACACTAATCCTGACTAGTACAAATAAAGAAATAAATGTGTATGTATATGTTTAAAGATTAAAATAGGGGGGAAACATGCACATGTGAAGAGAACATGGTAAAACTTTGGTACCAAAGAGTTATGATTGTCCCGTCATAGCAGATGAGATATTCAACTCTGTACTGTTTTGAATTGCACTCAGTGGGACTTCATTAAAACCTGTCGACGCCACTGTGTGTGTAGGAATATTCTGGAAGAGTTCAGAGAAAACTGAGACTGTACATGCACCACTTAACTGTTGACACTTCTTTTCTAGCTTGTTCTTCTTCTTACACAAACCGTGACACTTCATTCAGACGCAGATCTGTCTCTGTTCCATGGCATACTAATGATGAGGATCTTCCCCAGCCTTATTTATAGTCTGTGTTACTGTCTTGTCACCAGGTTAAAATTTAGCTTCCATAAGCATCTTATCAGACAGAGCTGGTGAAATCGCTGCAGCAGGAGGGTAATCTGGGCTGTAATTGGCTTTGCACTAAACTCCCGTCTCTCCAACCTGCTGCTGTGGGTGAGTGTATGTTTGGATCACCTCTCACACACTGACATTTACACACGCTGATGTGCTAACCGAGAGATCAGCACATCCACCTGCCCTCAGGATACGGCACTGCGGCAGAGACACTGAAAACAAGCAGCACATGTGAAGTTCAGAAGGTTGAGATCCGCTGTGTTTTACGCAGAATGAATCAAACGCAGGGGAAATTGAGATCTCAGCTCCTGGTGTTCAGCAGCTATGAGAGGAAGTGCTCTGGGAGTGCTGCTGCTTTTGCTTTTAGACACCTACACTCGATGAGAAGCTCTGCTGCTGCAGACGAAGTCAATTACAGGAGTGACCTTAATCGCTAGTGTGCACAGGGTTGAGATCCGCTGTGTTTTACGCAGAATGAATCAAACGCAGGGGAAATTGAGATCTCAGCTCCTGGTGTTTAGCAGCTATGAGAGGAAGTGCTCTGGGAGTGCTGCTGCTTTTGCTTTTAGACACCTACACTCGATGAGAAGCTCTGCTGCTGCAGACGAAGTCAATTACAGGAGTGACCTTAATCGCTAGTGTGCACACTTTAAAACAGCCTGAAAATGTGCTTAACAGACGGACAGACAGACAGACAGACAGACAGACAGACAGACAGACAGACAGATAGATAGATAGATAGATAGATAGATAGATAGATAGATAGATAGATAGATAGATAGATAGATAGATAGATAGATAGATAGATTATAAACAATAGATTGACGGATATTATAAACAAGGCGCAATAAATAATATGTTATGTAATAACAGTCTGGTGAACTCTGACAGATTTGCTCTCTCTCTCTCTCTGTCTCTCTGTCTCTCTCTCTCTCTCTCTCTCAGGATCAGGTCTGATTATTAGATTAGCAGCGTCTCAGTAGCCATCAGTAAGTGCAGTCAGAGCTGGAAGAACAGGCAGCATGAGCTTCAGCGTGGAGGAGAGAGGCAGAGACAACACGGCCGACTACAGGCTTTACTTCAGTAAGTGTCACAGCACATCCATTCATCCTCAGCACTGCACTCAGACTCTGATCAACCGATTCCAGCTGCAGCACATCTTCATGACCAAATCAAATGTGTCTTAAAGTAGTCGATCAAATACTAAACTCTCGATTTTCACTCACAGTCTCACAATGAAGTGAACATAGGCTGATTTTAAATAATTTCTCTACTTGAGTGGATGCTCATGATCTTTCTTCTTGAACATCTTGTAAACATGGTTTTAATTAACATTAAATTTGTCAGGTTTATCCATCACCTCGTTAGTTGCTTAATTAACTTTAAGCTGCATGTAACTGTCTCTGAGAAATGAACACTGACACTAAAACTCATCAAGACATAATTAGTAAAGCTGAATAAATGCTCTGAATATATTCCTTCTTAAATTACACAATCATATTCATTTTATATTGGATGCTGCATAACAATTCTTAACTATATAATTAGGTATATTTAATACACACTTTAAATATAAAGTGTGTCTTATACATACACACACACACACAAGATTAACAGTTGAGCATCTGCTGGTGGCAGTAAAAGGAAGAAGTAACTACTGTTGCTATGTGACCAATCATCATCTGAAAATCTGCTTTCTGTTGAATCCATAAGTGTTCTGCATACTGAATTCTGTCTTTGGTTCAAACATCACAATAATTCCCCCTGCTCTCACTGTCAGACATCAGAAAGTGCTGAAAATCTCTTTAATCTCTGAGTGTTTTAGATCCTTTGTGACGCTCTTTTATCTCTTCTCACAGAAAACACAGAGGGAAAATACATATCTCCGTTTCATGACATTCCCATCTATGCCGACGAGGCCGAGGTATGGAATATCTGAATCCTGATTCACGCCTTTATTTCCTCAGATCTCTGAACTGGGTTTGAATGAGGAACAGAAGCTGTTCTGTGAAACACACAGATTGATTCACTCATCAATCATCACGTGAAATATTGTAAACAACTCAGAAATTCAAACAGACATGCAGTAAATGAGAGCAGCTTAAACAACAAATTTAGGTTTTGTATTGAAAAATAAGGCCAATGATGAAATGGAAAGTGCAACTGTTAATTATAAGCATTACTGTGTGTGTGTGTGTGTATGTATGTGTGTGTGTGTGTGTGTGTGTGTGTGTGTGTGTGAGAGAGTGTGAGTGTGTGTGTGAGTGCGTGTGTGTGTGAGAGAGTGTGAGTGGGTGTGTGAGTGCGTGTGAGAATGTGTGTGTGTGCATGCATGTGTGTGAGAGAGTGTGAGTGTGTGTGTGTGTGTGTGTGTGTGAGAGTGTGAGTGTGTGTGTGTGTGTGTGTGTGTGTGTGCGTGTGTGTGTGTGAGAGAGTGTGAGTGTGAGAGAGTGTGAGTGTGTGTGTGAGTGCGTGTGAATTAAATCGAATTAGACGCATTCTCTCCTGATAACCCTCCTGGAGTTCATAATGACATTAATATGTCAGATGAATTATGGGAATAGATTCCTCTATTCGAGGTCACGGGGGGGTTGAATAATATTAACACAACACAGGGCATAATTATCATGCAGGAACATGAATTCAGACACTGCAGAGAGAAAGAAAATCAGGAAAACGTGTGACTTCCTTAATCGAGCAAACTGTAGAAACTCTCACACACATCTGCAAAACAATAAAGACCGTTTCAATGAAAATAAACATTCAAAACACATATGCATTCATGCCAAAATAATTCCAGATCATATTACACACCAAAACCAGAGGGGTAAAAAAAAATTAAATATTCTGCTTACATAAAACAAAGCCCATTTTAAGGACCATTTCTCTTAACAAAAAACAGAATTAGATATTATTTCATCCCCTGATTAAATAAATCGAGTGCAAAGTAGTTATGCATCATGATATAGTTTTTCACTGCCTTTAATTTATGCTAATTTACCTGCATGCATGCAGTCAGTTGCTCTAACATGCTCTATAAAGGACTTCATAGAATCTGACTGTAAAACAGAGTTGTGATCATCTGACCAAATCCGTTTTCTCCTTCAGAACATCTTCCATGCTGTCGTCGAGGTTCCTAGATGGACAAATGCAAAGATGGAGGTAAGAAATCTTCTTGAGGATATTCACATCGACACTCGCTCTCGATCTTCACGCACGCTCAAATAACCTGCCAATGATCTCACATGCACTAGAATGCATTAAAGAAAAGCATTAGGAGCTTCTTTAACCATTACGTCGTGTTCAATTCAATGCTTCTCTGATTATCCTTAACTTAATATAGGAATTCCAAGAATTATAGTAATAAGAATATTTTCATTTTTCAAGTATATATATACTTTATCAGAGCATTTTCATGTCACTAGGCCTTTTTACTCCATAAAACACATCATTCCTCGTTATTTCAAACTGAGGAAATTTAGAGTTTCTCTTTAAAATGTTTATGCATTTTGTCTCATGTGAGGTCTGTATTGTTTTTAAGCATCAAAACAATAAAAGTTTAATACAACTTTAAATTTAGTTTTTTTTCATACATTAGAATTTGTTTAATTTAATTGATTTTTTTTCCTGAGCAAAACATAATGAATATGTTACATTATTTACAATGATTTCCAGAACAAACCCACTAAAACGTCATTCAGCGGATCAATATTTCATATACCAAAAAATCTCATCAGGCATATTTAGAACAGGAATCATTAGACGACATTGAAAGACTTTAAGCCCCCAAAATGTAATTAAACATCATCTTTTTTTCTTTTTTTTGACACGATCCTTTAAACCACTAGGTTTTAGCTATTTGTTAATTTAATCATTTAAAATATAATAAAATTTATGATCACTTACTCTTTTATATATTTTAAGTAGAGATCAGAATAAGTATGTTGTTTCATTTTTACATAAATATATATACGCTGAATGACGATGGAACATTATTTCATTTAAATTTTGACATTTTAATTCCCAAACGTTCTTTACAGTAGACACTTTACATGCACTTAGTATGCCTTTTATTTATATTAAATGACTTATGTAAATTTAATTCTTGAGAGAAACCATCCACGACGGGAAAGCTCGAATCTACTGAAGCTCGAATGCAACTTCTCATCATCAGACACTTTTCAAAAGATCAAAAACATAACTGGATATGGATCAGGTTTTGATTGGAGAAAACTCTCAACATCATTTTTTAACTGATAACACATTCATATGAGATTTAAGAGTGATTTAGTCAATAAAAAAGTCTGTTCCTCGCATAAAGCATCATATAACATCAGAAAACTTGCAATATTATGCACCACATATGGCTTTCTTTCTCTGTTTTTTTGTTTGTTTGTTTGTTTTTAGTGGCCACAATATATTTTAAACAGATGCTAAATATATTTGGTTAACAGTGAAGTTCAATTAAATATATTTTTGAAATACAAAATATATTACTTTCAACCTACACATAGTGTACAAAAATATATTTAAAATGTATTTTAAGGGCAATAAAATGCACTTCCAAACTTACTGTAGCCTACATTTGGGTGAAATGTAAATTTGGATGAAATAGCATATAGATCAAAAAAAGATTTAGAAATGATTTAATAATATATTGTTAATATAATGTTTTAAAAATATAAAATAATGTATTTTCCTTGCTGATTTTTGGTCAGATGTGTACAAAATATTTTATTTTATTTATTTATATATTATTTTATTTTTAATATATATGGCAAATACTAAATTTTTCAAAATTAATATTTTTAAAATATATTTTCAAAAAATATATTAAAATTGCCAAAATATATAGGTATAAGTGGACAAACATATTTGAGCAAATATATATTTTTTTCTCATTTATTGCATATTTTGGAATATATGAAAAAAAAATATTATATATATATTTTTTTGCTGTGTGGGACGAGTCATATTATGCTGCTTTTTGGAGTTGACGCCTTTAATTTCTGAGCTGTGTTTACATTCTGTTTCACATTTTATGGAAGACAGAAAGTCAAAGAAACAAGTGTGAGCAAATGAACACATTCTGAAATATCGCCCTCGTTTCTCCAGATCGCGACTAAAGATCCTCTCAATCCACTGAAGCAGGATTTGAAGAAAGGGAACCTGCGTTACGTCAGCAATGTCTTTCCTCACAAGGGCTACATCTGGAACTATGGAGCCATTCCTCAGGTTTGTGTCACAAGGGCTCTTTCAGACGCTTAGATGTTTAAGCATGCAGAATTAAAGTGTGGAAACCTCCAGGGAAAAGCCAGCGTGATGCATGAGTGAGCTCAACGAGGGAGATTTCATGCACGTTTAGATGCCATCCCCAGCAATATCATCATCATGTGAATGAATGGACAGATGATTTTCCGTCTCTTGCAGACGTGGGAGGATCCAGGCCACCGAGACGGAGACACGGGCTGCTGCGGTGATAACGATCCCATCGACGTCTGTGACATCGGGAGTAAGGTGACGATCAGGGTCAGAAATGCATCCAGCCCTCCGAGCTGATTTTCACTGACTGTATCAGTGCTACAGGATACTTCAGCATCTCACTCATGCTTTACTGTTTGTACACAGTCTGTATTTATTGTCCTTCATGTTTATTTACTCAAAACTGACTTTGACATTATTTAAAGCAGGATGCACCAACTCTTGCTCTTCATTTTAATCTAACATTTCTCTGGATCTCATCTGAATTTGAAATAAATACAATTAATTTGTATAAATATTATGATACATTTAAATAAATGAATAAAATGTATTATTAAAAATATTAGTATTCATTTAAATAAATAAATGAATGAATGAATACAATTTATTATTATAAATATGATACATTTAAATAAATAAATGAATACAATTTATTATTATAAATATTATTATATATTTAAATAAATTAATAAACTGTATTATTATAAATATTATTATATATTTAAATAAATAAATGAATGAATAAATACAATTTATTATTATAAATATTATTATATATTTAAATCAATAAATAAAATGTATTATTATAAATATTATTATATATTTAAATAAATAAATGAATGAATAAATACAATTTATTATTATAAATATTATTATATATTTAAATCAATAAATAAATGGTCCAGAAACCTGTATTTTATGTATTTGATGTCATATTTTTCTGTCCAAACCCATCCAAAAATAAATAAAAGTTATGGAAATTAGAGTAATAAATATAAAAAACTTCACAGTCAAAGAAAAGTCATGAACATTTCTATAATGAATATACATTTTCCATTATTATTGGTCTGTTTACTATCATATTATTATTACATATTATATATTATAGGTGTCTTTACATATACAAAGAATATATATAATTTTTGTCATATTTTTCTCTTTAAACTCATGCACAAATATATATATAAACCCGAGGGGTTCCTCTGATCTGTAAGCGTGTTGAGCGTGTTCTTCACGTGTGTTTGCATCAGGTCTGCTCTCGAGGAGAAGTCATCCGTGTGAAGGTGTTGGGGACTCTGGCTCTGATCGACGAAGGAGAGACCGACTGGAAAGTGATCGTGATAAACGTGGAGGACCCCGAGGCTGAAGACTTCAACGGTCTGAGAGCTTTAGCTTCAGCGCTCGTGATGAGCACGAGGGTCAATCTCAGCGTCTTCTGTCTCTCGCAGATATCGAGGACGTCCGCAGACTGAAGCCCGGATTCCTGCAGGCCACACTCGACTGGTTCCGGATGTATAAAGTGCCAGACGGGAAGCCGGAAAACCAGTTTGCCTTCGATGGTGAATTTAAGAACAGGGTAAATAGAGCCGACGCTTAAATGAAAGCCAGGAGACGAGATTTGAGTAATGACTTCTGCCTGACGCTAGTAATGAAGATGTCTCGAAGGCAAGAGGATCCAAGCATGTCATTTTCAAAATAGCTTTTTCAAGAGGTGATCGTGTCAATGATTAAATTACTAGACATTCTCACAGATCTGAGATCAGGGGCCAGTTGCATAAACATAGACACTGTTAAGACTGCGTCTTACCAACTAGTTAGACCAACTAGCAGTTAGTCAAGGGGTATCAGTCTTACTTTTTGGACTCACATTAGACCAATCTACCTTTTTGTAACTGACTTTAAAAAGTTATGACCAGTCTTGAAGAAAATAAATTAGATGACTAACTTTTTAAGACTAGTCTAAGCAGTTTATGCAACCCGCCCCTGATCTCAAAACTGTTCCAAACTACGAGCTGCTAAACATTCAGAAGGTCGTATTTAAAACACCACGAAACACATCACTGAAGAAAAGACGCATTGCTGCTGTTTGTTTAGTCAGAACAGTTAGAAACCGCATTGCAATTCCCTGGCAACCACTGAGAACATGACATTCTCTTTAGAAAATGCAAAAATAGTTTTAAAATGCTGCTGTAAATTTATCTTTCTTATTTTTAAATGTTAAAAAACACATTTTGATAAAAATACTGTATCTATTTTTATTTTAAGATTTTTTTAAATTAACATAATATACCCTTTTTTAAAATATTTTAATGTTTTAAAATACTTTTAGTAAATATTCTAAATAATTTTTCTTTTAAATGTTACAAACATTGTAAACATACTATATTTTTTAAATTTTGTTTTAAAATTATTGTTTTTATTATATATAGAAATATAAATAAATAAATATATTTATACTTATATATATATATATATATATATATATACACATAAAAAATTGCATATATACTATATATTTTTTATTAAAATGATAATTTCAAGTAAATATAGCAAATTATCTTTCTTTTTAAATACTTAAAAAATTTGAAAATATACTACATATTTTCTTAAATGTTTTAAAATATAAATTTTTAGTAAATATACTAAATCATTTTTAGTTTTAAATGCTTTCAAAAAATTATATAAATCTACTATATTATATACTATATAAATATATCTTAAATATATTAAAATGTATTATTTGTAGTAGCCTATATATATTTTTAAATGTTTTAAAATTATTATTTTTAGTAAATAACTACATTTTTAAAAATGCTTTAAAAAATCATAAATAAACTTGATCTTATTTAAAGGTTTTAAAACATTTTTTGTAAATATACAAATTTTTTATTTTAAAATGCTTTACAAAATTTGAAAATATACAGAATGATTTCTTAAATGTTATAAAATGTTTGTTTTTTTTAGTAAAAATACTTAATATTTTGTATTTTTAAATGCTTTAAACATATTGTAAATATATTGCAAAATTTGTAATATACTATATATTTTCTTAAATGTTGGGAATTTTTTTTATACTAAATATACTACTTTTTTTTTTTTATAAATGCTTTAAAACAGAAAATATACATCCTTTTAATATGTATATATATATTTTTTTATTTTGTATTTTTTGGTAAATATACTAAAGCAATTTTTGAATGCATTAAAAAATTGCTAATATCCTGTATCTTTTTTAAAATGTTTTAAAATGTCTTCTCATTCGTGGTCTGCAGGACTTCGCCATTAAAACGGTTAAGGACACACATAGTTTCTGGAAAGCTCTGATCTCCAAGAAAACAGACGCCGGAGAACTCCGCTGGTAAGACGTCGCTCAGTCGCTCGGTCTGTGGTTCAGCTTCAGTTCAAACTCCTGATGATCCGCACAGAAGGCCTTAGATCAGTCACTTCTCAGAGTCTGTGATGTTGCTCTAAAACATGCACATGATCCAACAGAAAGACAGAAATCAGGGTTGCCAGATCTGTGTGACAAATCAAGCCTCGTGATATCATCCCAAATATCAAAACTCGAAATATGCCACTCCAATACCTAAAATACATATTTCACATCAGCATACACATTTACAAAAACTTGAAAATCTCTAAATAGTAGTAATATATATATATATATA